TGACAAGTTTTCCCCTGTGCAAAATTTGCAAGTTTTTGTTTGGCAAAATTTTTTAACTAAAACGTGACCGTTTTGACTAACAGTACATGTATTGTTAGTCCCTAACTGCATGGGAGCTACACTTGAGACAGAGACTAAGAGAAAATAGTGAGGAGAGAGTAAGAGAAAGAAAACAGGAAATAAGGGAAAGGGAGTGAGTGTAACGGAGAAAGAGTGACAGAGTAACGGAGAAAGGGAGTAATGACGAGACAAAATAGGGGGAGAATGAGCAAAAGAATAAGAATAAATGTTCAAAATTTAAATAAATGGTAAAATTAAATCAAATTTTTAGATATTTAAAAATAAATAAATTGTTAATTAGTTATGCATTATTTAAGGAAGGGTAATTAAATAATACAGAAAAAAAGTAAATTGAATTGTGTATCTAATAACAAAAGAAATTTATGTATAAGTGAACTTAATAGAATAAGTCCATCTCCAATCCTTACTCTTTTTTAAATCCATACTTATATCAAATGAAAGGAAACATTTTTTTAAACCCAAATCAAAGGAGATCTTTTTTTTAAACTCAAATCTTTAATAGTGCGGTTACATTCTTCGTTAAAACTCCAATTGTTATATTTTACATTCTTTTAAATTTAAATTTGTTCTCATTTAAATTTGTAATACCCCACATGCGTTTAAAAAAATAAAAAAAAATAAAAGACATAGGTGTTCAGTAATTATTTCATTTGAAATGATAAAATAGTATAACTCAAGGAAAGAGTAGTTAAAAGATTAGTTTCGGTATGAAAATGTACAAAATAAATCATAAAAGAACTTGAACTAATTAGGTCGATGTAGAAAAGTATGTAGGATAAGTTAGGATTAAAGTTGGAAGGATTGGAAGTGAAAAGGGGCGCCCAAATGGGCGCTGGGGCGCTGCTCCGGGTACATTGCCTACTCCGGACCAGTTGTCGTAGAATCGTCATAACTCTTGCTACAATGGTCATATTGAGCTGAAATTTTGACACAATGCAGAAGACATCTAGATCTACAACTTTCATGTTTTGCACTTTTTCAGATTCAAAGTTTATCATGATCAAAAATAAGGAAAACAGTAAGTCTGGAAAACCCCAAAACAGACGATGAACAGTAAAAGTCGGGATTTTTGAGTTTTAAAACACCCATTCCAAGCCCTATTTCTCCCATTCTTCATTTCCCTTCCACTCTAAATACCTTAGAGCCCTAAGAGAAGAGAAAAGGGAGAGAAAAACACCAAGGTCAAGAGAGATTCCCACCTCATAAAGATCAAAACCGAATTTCTCAAGTTTTCTCTTCTCCACCCATTTCTTTTGCTTCTATTCCTCAACCACTCACACCCAAATCTCTAGAAACCCTAGGAGGACGAAATTAAGAGGAAAAGGAAGGAGAATAGGAAGATTTTGAATCTTGGGTCTTAGATTGAAGCTACAACCAAGAGGTAGGGGATTTCTTCCTAATTTCTTACATTGAGGCTAGGGTTTATGTATATACATATGTTTTCCACTCCCATCCATATTTATTTGATATGATTTGTATGATTCTTAATTCTCCTTGTAATAAATGCTATGTTTGAATAATGGGATGGTTTGGTAACCATTAAATTTCTCTTTTTCATCTTCCAAACTTGGTTTTAAGAAAAATTGAGTTTTCTCCATATATTGCCTTGGTTCTCACTTTATAAATTTAGTGTTCGATATTGTTCAACGAAAATGATCTTTATATTGATCTTTTGCTCATTTTAATTCCATCTTGCTATGACGCTTTACTTGTGAAATTTGAGTATTTTGCGATTAATTGGTAAAATGTGAATTGATTGAGAATATGTTGGTTTACCCATTGTATGGTGGTTGGGAGGGACTTGGATTACCTACGAGATATGCCGTAGAGTGTAAATGTCAGTTGAACCCAGTGGGGGGGGAGATGGTTTCTTGCACTTGTAGTGAGTTGTCATTTGGTAATGCGACCACTATCGTACGCCTGGAGTTCGAACTAGGGTTGGTATACCATTCCTGGGGAGGGACTCGTCACTGCCATTGGGATGGTAGACGCCCCTTCCCTAAGTACTTGTGATTGTGATTATAAATGGGTGGACTAGGTATAATCGTTGGGTAGATTCATGAGAAACAATCAACATACATGGTACGGGGATGAACCAACATAAATGTGATGATTGGCTGGAATGGCTTGGCCGGTGCATTGGTATGGGACGATGCATCGGAGGGAGCCCCTCCTAATTGACTTAATGTTGGAAATGGTTTGCTATGGTTAAACTTAATTTATTTCTCTCCTTAACTACTGTATGGCTTAAACTTGAGATCTATTTAAAATGTCCCGTTTTACTTCAAATTCATATATGTTATTTATGAAATGTGACCGACCCGTTTTGTATTTTATAAACCTTGTTGGAGTTGGGAAGATTTTGCTACAGAGTCTAGTGCTCATCCCCTACTGTTAACATTTTTCAGACTATATCCTTGAGGAGGAGCCAGGAGTCGAGGAGCCCGTTCTTTGGGAGACTCCGATCGACGGGAGCGTAGATCCCGAGGTGGACGCCTAGAGCGGCCCTTCTATTTTGTTCTAGACTAGGCTATGTTTTTTTTGAAAGATTGTAAAGTCTAGTTATCTTTTGAAATTCCGCTGCTTATCATATTTTAATTCTTTGGGAATGTACATGCCATTGTGGGCATATTTTTTTTGGTTAACATATAAATTTGATGGATTGATTATATAGTAGTTAATTGGACCTGGTGTGGTCATTATAGTAGAATTGCACAGGTTGGATTTTGTGGTAGAGCTCCCCGTACAAATGAGACTCTGCCCGAATTTTGTTAAAATATCAATGGTTGATGGATAAAAATTTCTTATTTATGGATTTATTTAGTGCTCTCATGATTGTGAAAGGTTTTAGAATGTAATGCCGTCCGAGGGGGTATTTGGGGCGTTACAAAATTTGAGTTTCTCTTCCTCTGAAAAAGGGTTTGTACATTGGAGAGATTTATACTAAATCAAACTTTTTACCATTTTTTCACTCAAATTTGAATAAAGGTTTGAATCTCCATCGGAGATGCTCTAAAAATCTTATTAGTGAACTTTCTTATCAAATAAGTCTTAGAAAATATATCCACATCCAATTTTCCCAAATTTGAAATCAACATAATTTAATGGGATTTTTGGAGGTGGTCTAGAGTTGTGGACTTTTGAATCGATTAGTCCAGGTGCAAACAATTTGGGGCATAAAGGGCAAACACGTGTGCAAAGACAAAACTAACCTTAAAAACTCGGTATTTTCTCAAAACTAGCCTACGGCTATGTTTGATAACTGTCTTTGTTTCTGTTTTTGTGCTTTTGTTTTTAATTTTTGTCAAAAATGAAAACAAAAATATATTTGGTAATTGTTTTTGGTTTTGTTTTGTTTTGTTTTTGTTATATTGGAGACAAAGACAAAAAAATAGGAACAAAAAATTTTTATTCCAAGAAACACGCGTAACAGGAACAAGCGCTAAAAGGGATTAATGAAATTCGGGTTTCGAACTTCCTTAACAGCAAAAATACTCTTTTTTTTGTGAACCTATTTAAACCCACCCATCTCTCTCTCCTCTCCTGTCCATCGCTAACTCTCCATCGCTGCCTCACTCTCTCTCCATTTTCTCACCTTCATCGACGATATCTCCTCTCCTCTCTCTCACCGACGGCAGGTAAGCCCCTTCTCTTTCTCTCTGTTTCTCCCTCTCTCATCTCATCTCCTCGCTCTCTCTCTATATATATACACACAGCTTCGTGTATATATATGTATATATACACAGATCTGTGCACATATATGCACAGATCTATGTGTTGCGTGTGTGATGGTGGTGACGACTTAGATTCCAATTTTTTAGCTTTCTTCGTGGGAATCTGCTAGAAAGTTGAATTCTTCTGAAGAGAACAATGAAAAGAAGTAAAATAGGTCTCACATTGTGAAGCTAGAAAGTTGTTTAAACATATAGGTGGCTGTTAGTTATGAGTGTGTGGTGAGCGGCCCATTGATTTGTACAAACAAGCCGAAGTGCAAAAATTGACTAAGCAGTTATATATTCCCCCTCCAAAGGTTAACTACCTTTCAAAATGGAGGTGCCTCTATCAATGAACCTGGATCATTGATTGTTGGTGGGTTAATTATGCCTTCTGTTATTTATTTCATAGCAACTGATTCGTTAGTATTTGTAGCTTTTCAGATGCATTTTTCATATATTTGTCGTTTTTTTTGGACCAAAAAAAAAAAAATTTATTTGTGGGTTTTCACCTGTGCCTTTCTAGTTTTTATTTTCTTGTATCTAGAGAAGGAACCAATAATGGTACAATTATCTGAATATGCTTTGATTGGTCTCGATTGCTAGGCATTATTATGGCAAGTTTAGGACATAGCGTTTGTATGTGGCTGTATCGGTTGCTACTACTAAAAAATGATTCTGAACCTTCTTTTAAACTTTTTTTAATCAATCTTTCATCTCATATGTATGTTTTGCCCCATATGCAATAAGATGCCCTTCTGATCATCAGCCCTATATCCTTTTCCTCACAAAAGGGAAGAGCTTCATATTGCGTCCTCTCTTCTGGTTCCTCATTTGTCTTCGGCCTTCTGGACTGTTGTCTTGTGATACCAATTAATTATTAGCTATAGATGGGATGGAATTGAGATTCTTTGCGAAGTATTTTGCAAGGGCATTATGTTTATTTTATCTACTGGTTTCCTCGTATATTCAGAATTTTTACTAATTTTTCTTTGACCATCATTCCCTTATTGTAGAGATATCTTTTATTTACCTGTCAACGAAGAAGAAAAATAAATAAAAAGAGGAACCCCAAAACAGGAACTATGATGAGTTCCTGAACCACTATTGTAAAGGGATGACCTTTTTTGAGATTCACCTCATTGCCTAACCATTTCTGTTGACATAGAAAGAGCCATCACCTTTTTTTGTAGCTGAAGCATATTCTTAGCTATAATCAGAGGGTGCTAATACTGGCTTTGCTAGATTTATGTTCTGTCTGCTGGAATTACTGATCTGGCAGTGCATTCTCAACAACTGCAATGTTGTGGTAGCATGGTTTTCCAAGAATTGATCTGTGGCAAAGGGATTAGAACACAGATATTGTTGTTGTGGAATGATGGATGGAGGAGATGGAGTTCTTGCTTTGCATTGGACTGCATTGATTGTTCTCTGCAATTCTGTACTGATCTGGAGCATGGAGTTGTTGTTTTGCTGAATGATCTGAAGGTCCAATTGCTGGACTGTTCTGTTTTGCTGGTCTGCTTTGTTGTGCTGACTGGTATATTGCAGTGAGGTTTGCAGGCAGTTAATCTCAGTTGTTAGACATCTTTTGATTGTAATTAGAAATGGTTTAATCCATCTTGTAGGAGTAAAGCCATTTTTCATTTGTTTTAGAACTTCTTGTTCTTTGCTTCATGTAATTCATTCTTTTTTGGAAATAAAATTTTTTCTTTTCTTTAAAAAAGAAAAAAAAGGCTTATGCCCAATAAATTTTTTTAATATGATACGACATAAACCCGACTTATTTAAATGCTCCTTCATATTAAATTGGTGTTATCCTATAGAATGCCTAATTAACCTATTTATTCCTCTATATTAATCAGTATTAGGAGTTGGGAAAGATATTATAATATCATTTGGCTTCTGATGGATGAAGTGTTTTTGTTGCTCCAGTTGATGTCCGTGGAATCGACATCACAATAATATAGGATTCTATTGGAGAAATTCACAAAAAGAATTATTTCAATGAATTGACAACCCCAAGTACACAATACCTTTTGTTCAATTAAAACATAATACCAAACAATGCAAACAATGTTAAGGAAAAACATCCATTGAAGAGGAAATGGAAGTTTGAGCATTGAAAATGTACACACACAAACCACTATTTTTTGACATTGAAAAACATCAATTTTGATGATTGTTTCATACGGGTTGATAAGTACAACACAATTACAAATGAACAAAGATTGGTGCTTTGTTGAATATCCTTAATTCATGGTTGTAAATCATTTTTCATGAAATAAAGTGTCGATTTGTTTGAAAACAAAAATGAGGTATTATAAAGCATATTTAAGATAAAACTTGAGGTAGTTAACAAACATATATTTTGTTTTTATTTTCATAATTTGATAGACAAAAATGACTACCAAACATGTTTTCTGTTTCAATGGTTACCACAAAACAGAGACAAAAGATTGTCTCTGTTTTTTGAAGATGCAAAAATAAAAACGTTACCAAACATAGTCGTACAGTTTCTTTTCAACGTACAGTTTTCACTCCCAAAAAATTCAGCGACCATGTCCATAGGTTTTAGCAATTATCGATTTCAAAAATTCTATAATCACTATTAATATTTAGATAAAAATCCCAACTAGATCTCAAATCCTAAGAATTCTCTCACAAAATCTCTCTCACTCAAATCTATCTCTTCATGTAAATCTCTTTCGCATATATGTATATATATATATATACAAATACACTATAATAAAAGGTTAATATGTATATATATATATATATATATATATATATACACATCGTAATAGAAGGTTGGTATAGGTTGTATATATATATACTAACAATTGTCCGTGCCTAAAAACACTTTGTAACAGACAAAAAAATCTCAAATAACTACCCATGTCCGACTGCATATTCTAACACAAAAAATCTCTCAATCAAAAAAAAAAAAAATGCAATGGACTGTTGCCTAATTCAAGTCCATCATTTTACATGGGTTCAATAAAGATCAAAATTTTATGTACCTAAATTCTAAAACAAAAAAAGACTGTTTGAATCCAACACAACAATCATTTTTTATTTGTCCTAAAAGAGTACAATCAAACTTTCAATTCCTAAAAGAGAAAGCAAGAATTCAATCTATAAAGAATCACAACTTTCTTCACGTGATATCAAAGAAAACAAGTATAAAGTCATTGGAATATAAATGTTGAAATTGTTGGACCAAAATAGTTTTGTAAGTGTAAAAATTAAATTTTTGGTCAACTTTGAATCTAAATTAAAGTGGGATCCGATTGTTGTTTCGAGAAAACTTTAGTGGGTTCGTGTTCTATTTCATGAGGATAATTGTTAGAACAGAAGTCACAAGAATTAGTAATAGCGCGTATGTATCAAATACATTTTTATGAAAATCCTACAAAGTGGAACTATAGTTTACTTTTGAGATTGCTCTCGATTGATCTCGTCTCATCACAAACGTAGAATCTAAAGATAGACACCAAAAACAGCTCAAAGAACCTCACAATCTTCTGTCGTGTATTCCCTAACGTCAAAATCTGGATGCAATATGAGCTACAAAAACTTCCTAATTTCTACTCTCTCTCAACCTCCCTCAAAACGTGAGTAATAAAGGTAATGCTAATTAGAGAGCCTAGACGTCTATATACAGGTTATCACAAAAATCCTAAAGAGAAATAAGAGTCGTGCTTCCAATGGGTCTAGGAGTCCTATATTCAACCTAGAATAATCATCCTGTAGTTCATTAATAATAAGTTAGTCTACTAAAAACTTATTATTAATCTATTGAGTCTTATCTCAAAAATTATATTCGAATTTCTTATTATTATATGCTTAATAATCTCCCCACGTTTAAAATTATAAATGTCTATCAATTAAATAAATTACTAATAATTATATTTAATTGACGTCTTTTATTCCTTAAAACCTTACCACTCAACTTATTTGTCATATCGGATAATTAAATTCACCTGTAGGGTTTGACATGGACAAAACTTATGAGTTTTCTCAAGTGGACATCATCAACCCATTTAAAAATCAAGATGTGGTTTCTTTTAATAATTAATTTTCACCATACAAATAATATCGTCTCTCAATTCGCCGAGCTTATTGACTCAATATGAATCTCACTTTTTGATGAATTAAAGTGACAATCATTATATATACGTGACAATTAAATATCTCGAGATTAAGAGAATAAACAATCATAATAACCATGAGATTTTATTATCTTATTCAATTAGTAAAAGATAATAACATCAACATGAGTTTGTTCAATACACAAAGTGTTCTAGTGAAATAATTCGAGACATCAAACAGTCTCCTATAGTCAAGAAAGACTATGTCAGAATATTACACAACAATCATATTGATGGTATGTCCAATCCTATATTCATATTATACAAATATTCGATAATCTGGTCTTCTGTGCATAAGTCAAACTCTACATACCAAATTATCTATAATGTAAAATATAAGACACACAAGCATACTATATATCAAATATAATGCAAACATTTGATATAGATGTATATATAAAAGGTTAATATGAATATTATATATATACACATCGTAATAGAAGATTGTTATAGGTTATATATAATAGCAATTGCTCGTGACTAAAAACACTTTGTAACAAACAATAAAATCTCAAACAATTACTTATGTCCAACTGCATAGTCTAACACAAAAAATCTCTCAATCAAAAAAAAAAAATGCAATGGACCTGTGGCTGATTCAAGTCCATCTCTTTACGTGGGTTCAATAGAGATCAAAATTTTATGTACCTAAATTCTAAAACAAAAAAGACTGTTTGAATCCAACCTAATAATCATTTTTTACTTTTCCTAAAAGAGTGCAATCAAACTTTCAATTCCTAAAAGAGAAAGCAAGAATTCAATCTAGAAAGAATCACAACTTTCTTCATGTGATATCAAAGAAAGCTAGTATAAAACGATTGCAATATAAATGTTGAAATTGTTGGATCAAAAAAGTTTTTTTTAAGTGTAAAAAATAAATTTTTGGTCAACGTTGAATCTAATTAAAGTGGGATTCAATTATTGTTTCGAGAAAACTTTAGTGGGTTTGTGTTCTTCTCTATGAAGAGAATAACATAGTATATTCACAAGTTCAAATAGAATAAAAAATGAATAAGAAAATAGGGTTCCAAAATGACCCATTTGAATTGTAAAAATAAAGGTTGTGCAATGTGAGATTTGACACCAATCCTACATTGATCGAGGAAAAAATTATACTTGGGCATATATATGCTATGTTTCCTCAATGGGTTGGACCCCAAAGAGTATCACACTTGTATGAGCGAAGCAAGCGCCTATATGTCATCGGTTCAACCAGAAACGCGCTGCCCACCACGGCCTGGTCGGGCTCAGGTATGGGTGTGAGTTAGACCAAGCCTTATCTTTTTGAAGAAAATTTGTTTGACGAATTGGATGTGAATTTCTTAATCGAGAATTTAATTTATGGTATCCGTTGGATTTAAAAGTCGAACTAGTTCGAATTTTTATTTCCCTCCAATTCTGAATTATTGAATTTGTGTCTGTTCATGAATGAACAGTTATTCAATGATGTCTTCTGGGTTGCATGTGTCTTTTGGGTTGTGTTTGTTCACATGGTGGCTATTCGGAACAGTCGTCAATCTTCTATATAAACCAAAATTCACTCTATTCTGCATCAATGAATTTTCGTAGACATTAAGACAGTCTCATACATCATATTTTGGCATTAGCAATTTGTATTATGAGAGTACACAATATAGTTTAGGTTCGCTAGGCAATTAAATTGAAGTACTACTTCTATTCGCATGAAGATTATTGTATCTTGGGAAATAGATGATTTGATTTTCCATAAACACCAAGTGTGGGAGCGAAATTTGTCTTAAAAACATTGTGTCAAACACTAGCATTAATCTGCAGTAAGTTCAATAACAGTTCCTGATCTACAAACAAGTCAGTTTATACATTGGCTTAATTACAGATTTATGTGTAACTATTTGGTTTATACTTATAATTGTTTCATTCAGACTTGTATCTATTTCATTCTTGATTGTTACTGTTATCTTCTAAGTTGCATAATATAAATTAGAGATTTCAATAAGTAATTTTGCTATATTGGAAAACCACAAACAATAGAAATGTCATGCTCATTCAATATGCATTTTGAAATATGTAAGTAGTGATGTAGTATATTATATAGGCAACAACTAACCCAATTTCATGCCCCAAGTCAATTTTTCTGAAGTCATTTGAAAGATAAATTAGATTCTTAAAAGCTATTCTTTTAAACAAACACATTCGAAAGGGTTGCATATCAAGCACATGGTTTGATCAATCCAAACCACCCATTTCAGTGGGTTATGTAACCGACCAACACACATTGAAAATACATACAATAGATTACCATGCAAGTATTAAACCAGTATTGACAAAATAATCCAACCTAACATCAAGTAAGAAGAATCTCTCAATAGGAAGAATAAAAGGTGCACAAAATCAATGTTC